ATCAATGTTTCTCTCCCTTTCTTTCCCTCTCACTAAAATAAAACAAAAAAAATAAAATACTCTGTAGCTTCATAATGTTTTAAAATCTGATAAAACCCATCTCTCATTATACCTTACAAAGGCCTCCTTTAGTACTTTAACCTGTTTATTCTTTCAGATGAAGTTAAGATTCACCTTGCTAACTGCCTGCTCTCTACTACCCAACTATAAATGTATCAGTGCACATACATATAATCCCCCCTCCTAACGCCTCCCTTTTAAAAATAAATACCACATAAATTCATTTAAGAGGTACTGGTCATCATGAAAAACTGAAAAACAAGATGCACAGGCATTCTTTCTTATTTTGCCAAATTATAATCTTTCTCAAAGGACATATGCATAATCCCTTAAAAAGCTCACTGGTTTTCTCAGCCTGGGGGAGATTAAAGAGTACTTCAAATCTCCCTTAAAGCATTTTATAAGTTAATATTCCCAACTACAGTTTCATACACTCCAAGCAATATTTTCATTATAACTTAACAGCAGTTAGATTTCTCATTATAAATGAATCTAGTGACACTCTGGTCCATGCAAACCTGGCTAGCATGAAATCATCGCCAAGGGCCTGATGCTCTCTCAGTCTACAGATAAAATTAGTTTTCCAGGTCTACATGATGAAAGCCAAAACCACAGGAATCTTATAAATTTACCAATATAAATGCCACTTTATCATGTCTGTTGAAAGCCAGTCTTCAATGACATCTTAATATTATTTTGTTCCCTCTTTCAAATTCCAAAACAATGCATTTATTTTATACACATAAAGTCACTAAATATCTTTCAGTTGTCAGGCTCTGTACCAGATGAGGAGGAAGCCTTAGATTCCTGCCCTCACAGAGCTTAGAAAATAGTAAGGGAAATTCAAATATGTAGGTGACACCACCACAGTGTGTTAAATGCTACTGACAGGTTCTGTGAGAATGTAAAAGAGGAATGCAGAATAATGAACTCAACCCAAAGGATCACCTGAGCCAAGAGTTAAAGGACACATAAAGTAAATGAAATACAGGGGAAAGAGGGCGTTCTAGCTCAGAGAAGTGGCACTGGAGTTCAGGGGTGGTAAGAAGAAAAAAAAATGAAGTCGATACATGCAAAGATTCTCCATATCACCAATCATCAGGGAAATACAAATCAAAACCACAATGAGATATACCTGTTAAGAATGGCTATTACCAAAAGACAAGAAATAAGAGTTGCAGGGGATGTGGAGAAACGAAAACCCTTGTGCACTGTTGGTGGGAATGTAAATTGGTGCAGCCACTATGGAAAACAGTAAAAAGTTTCCTCAAAAAATTAAAATACAACTACCATATGAGCCAGCAATTCCATTTCTGGGTAATTTATCCGAAGTAAGCAAAAATATTAACTCAAAAAGATATATGCACTGCCCTGTTCATTACAGCATTGTTCACAATAGCTACGATATGAAAACTAAGTGTTCACTGACCAGATGAATGGATAAAGAAGTTAGTATATGCTGTATATACAACCAAACATTATTCAGCCATAAAGGACAATGAAATCTTGCCACTTGTGACAATATGTATGGACTCTGTTGAGTGTTATGCTATGTGAAACAAATCAGAGAGAGGAAAACAAATATATGATCTTGCCTATCTGTGGAATCTTAGAAACAAAAACAAACAACAAAAACAAGCTCACAAACACAGAGAACAGACTAGTAATTGCCAGAGGTGGGAGTAGGCAAAACAGATACAGACAAAAGGTACAAACTCCCAGTTATAAAATAAGTCATGGGGATATAATATGCAGCATGGTGACCATAGTTAATATGCATATTTGAAAACTGATAAGAGAATAAACCTTAAAAGTCCTCATCACAAGAAAAAAATTATAACTATGTATGGTAATGGATGTTAACTAGATTTATTGTGGTGGTCATTTCAAAATATATACAAATATTGTATTATATACCTGAAACTAATATAATGTTGTATGCCAATTATACCTCAAATAAAAAAAAAGTGAAGTCAAGACACAAGACAGAAGAAAGATCATAAAGGGCACTGTACATACCCTGAAGAGTTCAGGTTCCTAAGAAAGCTAGGCTTTTATGGAGGGAATCTGACAGGCACAGATTTACACGCTCTGAAGATCACTCTGCTGGTTATATGGAGAAGTGAAAGAGGTGTAGAGGGTTGGGAGTAACCTGAAGTCAGGAATGCGCTCAAGAAACTATTGCAATAATCTCAGCAAGCAATGATGAGGGCCTGGACTAGTACTAGCATGAGGTTAGAGCAATGGTTCTCAAATGGCATCTTTGGACTTCAAAACTGGGAAAGTACTACCGAAATCTAGTAGTAAGAAGCCAGAGATGCTGCTAACCACCTTACAGTGTTCAGAACAATGCTCCCTACCCCCAAATGAAGAATGATCCACCCTCAAATGTCACTAGTGCCACGAGTACCATTTGTGGACTAACTGGGTAAAGATATTAAGTATGAAAAGGGGTGAAAGAATCACCTGGTTTTCTGGCTGTGGGAATCTGAGATAATGGGAGAAAAGAAGGCATGGAGAAAGCAAGGGCATCATTTTCTTGACACACACAGATTTGGAAGTATTTGTAGTACATCCAGTTTGGACATAGTGGCTCGGAGCACAAGAAAGATATTTGGACCAGAGATTCAGACTGGGAATTCAAATAGTAAGAGAAGCCATGGGATTAGGTAGGAGTAATACAAAATAAGGAGTGAGTATGTGGCATAAAAAGTGTAAAACACTAATAGAAATGCAGAGCACACCAACATATAAGGAAAAATTGACTCTGATATTATTCTTTTAAATTTAACTTACACCTGCAAATAATTTTATTTGGAAAGTCTTAACCTTCAAATAACTGTATTTAAGAACTATGATCTATGATTCTCTGTTACTCCAATTCTCAAAGTTGTTTTAGAAGCTCTGTGGTAAGAATAGTGGAAGCTCTCCTAATTGATGTTACCCAACATGCTCCATTATCTCTGATGCTCATGATACATCATAGGCCTTGCCCTGACCCTTATCAAACAGTATGCTTACTAAGGGTCAACTGTATTTGTTCCAGGCAGTTATAATTATTGTTACTATAAACAATAACATATTAATGAACCAATAAAATAAATGTTCAAAAAGAAAGTTGTTTCTGTGAAAGTTAAGTCAAATGCTTTGGAAATACACAAAATGTTACCATATCTCAGTTAACTGGGATCAAAAATTTTAATCATATAAATACACAGATTAATGTTAAATATAAACTGACCCAGCACAAGCCTGTAGAGATAGCTAATTAGGCACTCAAGGCATTGGATCTAGGCTGTAAACCTGACTCTTTAGGACCTTTTATCTAGCTACTTAACCTAAGACTCAGTTTCTTCATCTATAAAATAGCAACGCTGCCATTTCAGCATAGGAGTATTTTGAGATTAAACAAGGTATTTATAATTGACTAACAACGCTTAACCCAGAGCAAGCAAATACCCAGTAGGTAATGTTATCTTTTAGTCATTTGTTGTGAAAAGAAATACTCTGCTTTTGAAGACCCAAGGTTTGAGATACCTGTTTCATATTACAATTACATTGTACAGCTAGCTGGTCTCATCTGTCCTGTGGAGTTCTAAAGGGAAGTTTGGAAAAGGCATACTACTACCTGTAGGCTTAGTCCTACTGGCATAATCTCTGGTAAAGTCAAATCATTAAAAAAGACAGAATCCACCAATAAAACCAAACCAATCCTGAAGGCTAAGTACTCAAATACTGTGTATCTGACTTTTACACAGTATATTAACCCCCATATCTTTCTTGACATGGATTATTTACCTCACTAAAAAAGACAATTACATTCACCTTGATATTATCTTTCTCCTTTTATTTAAAAAAATTTTTTTAATCCTCACCCAAGGATTTTTTAAATTGCTTTTATAGTGGGTGGGAGGAAGGGAGAGAAAGAGAGAGAAAACATCGATGTGAAAGAAAAAGATTGATGGGTTGTTTCCACACATGCCTTGACCAGACATTGAACCCACAACCTAGATATTTGCCCTGACAGGGAATCAAACCTGTGATGTTTCGGTACATTGGATGACGCTCCAACCACGTAAGCATCCCTTTATTTTATTTTATTGAGAAAGGATTAAAACTGGCAGTTTCCCTTAAAATAGGGATGAGAGGGACCACATCATACTCATCATTTTATTTCTAGCACACAGAAGCAGAACGCAATAATTTTTCTATATTTGAAATTATATTTCTATTCTCTCTTAAACTCAAGATAGTCACAAAAGTATCATACCTACTCTTTACCCAGTATGTACAATACATACTGGGAGGAGGTTTCCAAGGGAGAGGTAAGCGCTTTCCCTCAAATATTTTATTGCATGAAGAAGAAAAGAATGCTCTCTAGTTAACAGGATTGTTGTTTCCATAAAGGATAGGGTGGGGCAGATGAGATAGTGATTATCATCAAGATTAATAATTAGTACTCTTTGAAATTATGAATGCTGTGAGACTGACCTAGTGTAAATATACAAGTCGGGGGCTTCCACTACTTATGAAGGAACTAGCCAGAATTGGAGAAACTGCACCATTAAGTAGGATGCAGTTTAAAGAGAAATGCGGAAGTTTAAAAACATGTACAACATAACTATAACTTGTGAAGATCTGGTAATTATGAAGTTGCCAAATACCGGATAGTTATAACTACTAGGTTAAAAAATATATATATATTTTTTTTACAGAGAGGGGAAAGGTGGGAGAGAGGGAGAGAAACATCAATGTGTAGTTGCCTCTCGTGTACCCCCTACTGGGGACCTGGCCCACAATACAGGCATGTGCCCTGACTGGGAATCAAACCGGTGACCTTTTGTTTTGCAGGCTGGCACTCAGTCCACTGAGCCACAACCCGCCAGGGCTATAACTACTAGATTAATGTACAAAATCCTAATAAACTCTGAGGAACTTACCTAGATTTATCCAAATTCCACCTGGCTTGAGTATTTTCCATATTGTGTCAATATAATCAATTACATTGTGAGCTGTGTCTATGAAGAAACAGGTAGCAATACAGTCCCAGGTATCTATTCAAGGAAAATCAAATTACTACATTTGTAATGTTATTTTGACCCTTAATTAATTATATAAACATACCAGCTACCTTTTACAGAATATTATTTCATTTAACTGCAGGGATAGAGATGATAAACTCTTCCAATCAACTACTATAATCAAGGTAACCAAATCATTATTTATGAGATCCTTGGCAATTTATAAGTTTTTATTAATAATTTGATAATCAATTTAGAAATCACTTTTGATAATCTATTATCACAATATATTTTCTTTACCAAATGATACTGTCTTGTTTATAATTTATTCAACACCCTTCATTTAAAAATCAGTGAAGATGAAATAATAGTCATTTGAATTTTAAATTGTGATTTCAACCAAAGTTAACTACCAATTCAGAAAGACTGCATGCCTATATTTTCTTTGTAAGTTCTGTTCTTAGAAGGACCTTCCCTGGGAACTATATGGGGGGGGCCCCCAAAAACCCAGAATTATCTTCTGGGGGATGGGCCCCTTGTAATACAGGCTCCCCCAACTAGGTGAGTGTTCTAGGAACCCACCTGTATCAGTGTGCCAGCTGGCATTGCTGTGACGGGCTGTGTTCAGCTTCCATGAAATTTTTTTTTTTTGAAGTGTTTGCCCATTTCATGATGGGTGATTTGAGCACACACTGCACTGTTTGGCAGTTTTTGACCAAAACCACCATGACTCCCATGCCCCACCCTCCCTATTCACCAATCTTGCCCTAAGCAACATTTTGTGTTTCCTGGGATGCAGAAAGTCCTCAAAGGGAAATGTTCTGCAGTTGTGGAAGAGGTGAAACAAGAAACTGCAGAAGCATTAAAAGTCATCACAACAACGAGGTGAGAACTGTTTTGAGCAGTGGAAAAAACATCCCGATAGGTGTACTGCATCAAATGGAGAGTACTTTGAAGGTGGCTGAAGTTGAACATGTAAGAATACATACACCATTTTTTAATAAATAAATTCTGGTACTTTGGGTCCCCCCTCGTATAAAACAGCAGCCCCTCCCCAGTCCCTCATCATCTACTTCACCCTGCCTTAGTTTTCTTCCTCACAATACTAATTCATTAGTCTCTCTCTCTGCCTACAAGGATACATACATTTCTTGTGTACAGGGACTTTGTTTTTGCTCACTGCTCTCTTTCCAAAGACTAGAGCGTATCTGCCACTTAGCAGGTATTAAACAAATATCTGTTAAATGAATGATTTGTTGATCTCTCGGCTTTTTATTCTTCCTTTCACTGCCAACACTCTTCCTCACTCTTCCCCATACCATGTCCCTTTCTTTAATGCCTAGCACATATTTCTTCACTAGTTTGCCAGGCTGAAGTCCAAACTTCATAGCCTGATACAAAGGTCCTCCACAATTGGGAATAACCTACTTCTCTAGCCATCTCTCCCACCAGAACTCCACACACACCGCCTTTCCCCTTCCCGTCAGGCTGTTCTGTCATCCCGAGGTACCGTATTCATTCGTACCTATGTACTTCTTCCTACTTGGAATGCCATTGTTCCTCATCCTTCAAGTCGCAGACTCTCCACAGAGAACTCCCTTCTCACACTAACCTACTTCCATTTTTATTGCATTCATTACTCATTTGAACTTTGTTTACATATTGTCTTGTATTAATAGACCCAATAGATTCTAAATTTCTTAGTTACAGGGATCTTACACTTCTATTTTCCATCACTTGCCTTATACATGACCTTTAAAACATACTAAATTGTCACTGAAGTATACCTTATGTTCTGCCATCAAAATAAATGACCAAATCTTTAGCTTAGTATAAAACTTGCTCATTAAACTTAGAATAAAGAATAAGATGTTCAAAATGCTTGCTTTAGACTTACTGCATTCTGAGTATATCTCCTGAAAATCTCCTGCTGTCATAGAAAAGTTAGAACCTGGAGGAAGACTGTGGGGGTCAACATCAGGGAAAAAGATGGGTCGAATCTGATCAGCTGACCTCCGGTTATTGCTAAACTGATGGATCCAGGGATAAAGCTTATATTTATTAATTTCAGAACATCTGCAAAATATGAGCATAAAATTCAGTGTTAACTAAATATTTTACCAAGAAAATCTACTTTAGACACTAAAATATTTTGGTTGAGATTTACTTATATAATTAATACATAAAAAGTGTTATTACTACACCCCACCCAATTATCTGAAAATGCACACACGTATGCAGATGAGTAACCAATCATGAACTAAAAGGAAAAAATTGAATTCTGATATATAAATGCGTTCTTCAAGTTTTAAAAAGGTATTTCCAAACTTCAATATCAAGTAAAAACCAGTTCAAGTATTTTTTTTTTAATGGTATGGGGTTTTTTTGATACCGATTTTAATTATTTTGTACAACTCCTTTTTACCTTATCATCCTCTAACTCATATGGCCACCATTACAATGCATTATTTAAATAGGCAGCTATTTATTTTTTCTCTAACACACCTCTTCTCACTTTAAAAATAACAACTCTTTTCCACTACTTACTAAAAGAGGCCAGTGAAGTTCTGAGAGATCTTTCCAACTGAGTCATGTGAGCTTACATGACCATTTAATAAGAATTCAATTAGAGAAAAAAGATGTAATCGCTACACTGTACTCTTACTCCACAAAGAAACAAAGGGGTGAAGAAGTTTAAGGAACAATGAGGAAATACTCCTTTCTGGATCATACTTAGTCCTGAAATTCACACAGAAAACATTTCAGTTTCATGGAATACCAAGTCACTTTCTAAAGTCACTAATCCATCCTGATCAAATTTCTGTTAACTAGGCAACTGATTAAAGTGGTAATTGTATAAGCAATTTAATGTAAGAAATATTTATGTATTTATGTATGTATCATAATTAAATACTATGTGCTCATCTTTCAAAACTGTTCAAAAATAGGTAAGTCAATCTGATTCTGAGAAATTACTATTTCTAGCAAAAAGTAAATTAAATACCTGTTGAGTACAAAGTTGGAAGAAAAGAGCATAAAAAAACTCCATTCATTTCCTTGACAAGCATAACCTAGCATAGCTATTTCCCAGGCCAGTCTTCCTAGTCCAGCACCAGGTACCAGAATATTTACTTTAGAAGGATCCCTGAAATGAAATAAGGCAATTATGTCCAACCCCTTAAAGAAAAAAAAAAGAAAAGAAAGGACAAAAATCCACGTTAACAACTAAAAACTTTGATATTTAATAATGCCACTCGGGACTCTGACTACTTAAAATTAAGAAATACTTCTAAATATCAATGGAAAATAAAGGCATAAATAATTATCGTATGTTCAGATGTCAGATGAGGGCTTTATCCCCCAAATACTACTTTTCAGGAAAAAAAAGTAGTCACTTTTGTATCTGAAAACTTATGAAAACACGTTCCTAGTAGCTGTCACCTGAACAACTGCCTTAGAAAGACAAATTATCCCAAAGGGATCCCAATACATACAAAGGGTTTGAACAAAATTATATCATGTAAGACGATAAACAATTTTATTTCTAAATTCTATCTCTAATACAATGGTTTATGTAATAGATTAAATGTATATAAATTTTAATGTGTCATGTGTATCTTTAAAATCTTGTATTTCAGTTCGCAAGGGATTTTGGAGGGGGAATATTTCCATGGGGAAAAAAAGGCTTCTAAGTATATTTGTATATACGATGGCAAATACATCACACCAAACCAGAAACACACAACCAAACTATTCTCCACTTATTTGCATCACTCTACCACCAATTTCCTTTCTACCTTAAACCATGAAAAATTAGCCTTAAGAAAGCCAGGACCTTTCTCAGGACTTCTGGCAAATAAATATAACACTAAGAAAACTAAAATGGTATTTTTACAGAGAACCAAAATATGTGTATAATCAGCTGTCATGTCAATTAAAGAGGAATTTCTCTATTGTCTGTATTCCCCAAATTTAGTTCATAAATCAAATCCAATTTCCAAATCTAGTTCCATGCATGATTTCTTTTTATCTTTAAACTACATGGTCTTTAAGTTTGGTGTGGTCCAAACAGCCGTAAGGCTGTTTACTCGTAGCCCCATAGCATAACCTTTGCATTTCCCACGTTGAAATAAAAAACAAAAACAGAGCTCTGAGGATTTTGAAAATTCCCTCTACAAATATGGTAACATGGGAGTTTGCCCAGGGTCATTCAGTCTTAAATATTTACATAGGAAACATATATTTGTATAAAAACCTTAAGAACATTTAGTTTGTTTCACTGTTGAATTTCACACATACCATACGACACAACCCGAAGTTTGTTAAAAATGATTTCTGACAAATAGGCTTATTATGATTAGTAAGAGAACCTTTAATCCTTGCTATGGACAAACTAATCCCAAGGTGTCATATAAATTTTCACTATAATAGAATAAAATGCTTTCTTCTCATTCCTGAGTATACACAATGTATGTGTACGTGTGTGTGCGAACACTTAAATTTTTAATGAAGAGGGCATATCTTCAGTCCTAGTTATCTAACAAAAACATGCAAAATTTTAATAATAGAATGTGAAAAACTCCTAGCTGTAGAACTCTGTGCTACCCCCTTTATAGAGGACCTGCTACTATGGCACCCTGTCCAGACCTCTCTCCCCTCCCCACTTTCCACTCCTTACCAGACCCATCCAAACCCTTACTCTCTGGAATTACCTCTTTTCAGTTCCCAGTTACCCAATCAAAACATGGATTTTTTTTCAAGTGTCTGTTTTCAGCTTATATATATATTTTTTAATCTAAGTAATGCAACCAAAAGTAAAAGGATTTGAAAGGAAATTAAGTACTTAAATTTGTATAAAAAGTCACTAATAATCACTGTCTAAATAGCTGATGATCTGCATAAAAATTACCATGCAGAACACAGGGGAGTCTTGACAGCATTATTGTGGATGAAAAAGCCAATTTCAAAGGTGACAGATATACTGTATGATTCCATTTATAGGACATTCTCAAGACGACAAAATTGTAGTGATTGAAAAGCATTTACCACAGGTTGTGGGTGGGGAGAGTGTGTCTCTACAAAGTGAACCACGAGTGTTTTTTGAGGGGTAATGAAACTGTTCTGTATCCTGCTGGTAGTGGTGATTACACAAATCTATTTAGGCTAAATTTCTTAGAACTATACACCAAGAAAAGTAAATTCTAGCGTATGTTAATTAAAACAAAAAATACAGAATGATAAATCATGTTAACCTTAAGGGAAATTTTTGCTAATAACAGTGCCAATTATTTTGTTAAATAAAGGAAAAGTTAACTTATGGCTGCTATTATGAAATTCACCCTAACGAATCAGGGCCATAGAACTCTCTACCCCCACCTTGTGGCAGGTTTCTGTATAAAACTGATATTAAAAGACTGCATCAAGCCATAGAATGTAGAATATATGAAAGCCCCCATCTTAAGCTCTAGCAGAGATTACAAACTTACCAATTACTTGTTTTATGAAAAAAAGATTTCGGTGGACATATAAAAGGATACAGATTAAACTCTCTAGAACTGAAAAATGATCAACAATAATGAATGGGAAATGGAAATTTTTTCCCCCCTAATTTTTTGTTCTTAGATAGTTTTTCATTGGGTCTTTATAGAAAAGGGATATTAACAGCATATTAAACATCCCTCTAATTATATCTGAAACTAGGGTACTCTAAAACAGTTTCGCTACAGATCCATATAAAGTCTAGGATGTTTCTATGAAGGCATTTCTGTGCAGAGTAATATAATCTAAATCTAAGTACAGATCTTTATGGTGAGCTGGCTTTAAAAAAACCCAAAAAACAAGAACAGGAAGAGGCATATAATATGTGGCCCAGTAATCAAATGTTGCCTGCTAGAGATTCTCAGCAAAAACAGGAAAACAAATTTATCTCGTTATTAAGATCCAAATATGGAGAAACACTATATTTAGTTAAATTTGGTAACACCCCTGGATAATAGTGGGAAAAAATAAACAGTTATTCTATATCAGCAAGAACAGAAACGGGTACATTTTTGTAAGGACAGAGCCAAGGGCCTTGTGTGTCTGAACAGGCCATAGATCACATTTGTAGCACCCTTTGTGCTCCAACTATTTTACCAGCAGTATACGTTCTTTCAAAAGATTTCCTTTATTGCCCACACAATTTTTGCACTGCAGTTGCAGATAAGCAAATTCCAACACACAAAATACGTCCTCTTGTTTTGTGCACGACACTTAGCTGACCCCTAGTGGTAGGAGTATGCACTACCGTCACACATCAAAAGGGTTCAGTTGCATATGAATTGGAGTAATTCACTCATGGTCCAATACAGTAAAAGCCAATAATCACTTGTGGCAGGCTACTCAACACCTAAAATGTGGCTAGCTCCAACTGAGATGTGCTGGAAGTGTAAAATAATGCCAGATTTCAATGATTTAGTTTGAAAAAGGAATATAAACTATCTCATTAATAATGTATACTCATTTTAAGTTGAAATACTTTTGATATACTGGATTATTAAAGTATATTATTAATTTCACCTATTTCTGTTTACCTTTTTATGTAGCTACTAGAAAATTTAAAATAATGGCTTGCATTTTAACTCTATTGACCAGAGTTGGTCCATACCGAGAAATCCTAACAACACAATTCTGAGCAAAAAACAATTATAAAATGGTATCATAAACATACAGAAAAATACTAGGTACTGTTTAGGGAAGCAATTCTCAACTAGTGTTACACAAAATTTTTTAAAACATGTAACACCTTATTATTTAGTCAGGGGTACCAACTTCTTTTCCCTTAGACCGTCAAAAAAAATGACAACAGGCAACATAGTAATAGACATCTGGTGTGAATGAATCAAAATTATACCTATTGTTTTTTGTCAGCTCATCAAAAAATACATTTTACTGCACTACAGAATTTCAGTAATTAGTTTATGTGTGCCATGAGACAAAAACGTTTGAAAATTGCTGGTTTAGGGGTATGTGATACAGTTAACGTAAGAAAAGATTAGAGTAACAATTTCATATTGTTATCTCTGGAGAGAGTGTGCTCTATATATGGTTTGAGGACAGTATGAACTGTATCTGTAATGTTTCTTTTAAAAAATATAAAAATTTCTGAAGTAAATATAACAAAATGTCAAGTTTAACACAGCACTAGGTGTAGAAATATTTGTTACTCAAAGTAGAAAACGAGTTAGATAAGGATTAGTATCTAGCCCCTTCAAAAACATGGTCCCAACTTACCTCATACTCCAAAAAAACACTCCACCTATCAGCCAAACAACTCACCAATTTCATAAAACACTTCCTCACCTTAATCTTTAGAGCTCCTACACACCCACAGACACTCAGTTTAAATTATCACCTTACCTATGAAGTCTTTTCCAAATACCCCGGGCAAAGCCTGAACTCATTTCTCGATGCTTTCAGTACTTCAATCATACCTCTATTCCAGTTCATATTTCAAGTTCTTCACTTTGCTTCTTTCATTTAATACAGGAGTTAGCAACTGTGACCCACAGGCTAGTCATTTGTTTTTGTAAATAACGTTTGACTGGATTGCAGGTATGCCCATTCATTTGTGTATTGGACATGGCTACATTCCCATGACAACGGATCTGAGTAGTCCCAATACATCACATTGCCTGCAAAGCCTAAAATATTTACTAGCTGGCACTGTTTCCAGTTTTTTATTATTATAGCATTAAAACGAATATCCCTGACATAAATAACTTCCACATGCAGGAGCATATCTGTAGAAAGTTTCTCCAAAATTGAATTGTGAGAGTCAGAAGATACGCATCTGATTTTCCTTAACAATTACCAAGTGGCTTCCATAAAATTTTACTAATTTATTCCATCAGCAACATGTGTTTCCTCGTACTTTCAGTAATAGTTACGTAACTTCTAAATCTCTGCAATACAGTAAGTGAAAAATGGCATTTTTATGTGATTTTTATATTTGCATTTTCTTATGAGATTGAGCATCTTGTACTTTCCCTGTGAACTGTCTACTTAAATTATTTTTCCACTGAGATACTAGTCTTGAATTGTTATTACTCTAGATTTGTAAACACTTGAATTCTTAAATTGTATGAGTTTGAGATCTAGATTTGA